CCACCCAAATACTTTTAAACGCATTCAGGGCTTTTCCTTGAAATAAATTAAAGTTTGTAAGCATCTGTTTGATTAAAGTTAATTCTAGTTTCCGTCTTACACCAGCTTTGAAAAAAGGGGCCACCCTCCCCTCCCTCATCTTTGTAAATATCACGTGTCTAGGGCCCAATCTCATACTGACCTTGGTCGATTTTGATGGAACGCAATCCAGATTTTCGATGAAGAATTACTATGTTGGAAAAGAACTAATTTTCCAAAGCAGAAGATGGTTCTATTTCCGCGCAGATGTCGGTGTAACCTACTAATATTTCGTGTTTTATTTGTTCCCTATTTGCAAACATAAGCTGCGGGCTGTCAAGAGACTTAGAACGGTGAAGATGTCGTCGAATGGTCTGGCGGTTTCGGAAGCCATCCAGCAAATTCAACTTGTGCAAGGCATGATAGATACAACTGCCTCGAGTTTGAACAGCTTACGAACACAGTTTCCGACAAACAACGACTTGATACAGCAAGAAATTCGCACCTCTGAGGTAAATAATATCGCTTAAACTTCTCAATTTTAACTCTTTAGAAACAGTTGGGAGCTTGATGTCCTCCTGGTTTGTTCAGCGGTCAACTCGACTACCCCCTATCGAATATATTGATGCAAGATTGGCAAAATTTGGCTACTTTCGATACTAATCCTTTTGCTTTTGATTGTCTGTCGCGGAGTTTGACTTAGAATTTTTCTCTCTTTCCATTTCTAAAACGCACTTTAAAAGCTATTAGTGTTGTGCTGTTAACTGGCGGTTGCGACGTGACCGAGTATTGACAAATGTCGTTAGTGCTGAAAATTTTATTGATGTTTACGTTAACCAACAAGGGATCGTCACACGATATTCTTAGCTTTCCATAAGCGAAAGCTCAAAATTGATAAAACTTTGTCCTAAAAATATACTTTTCGCTTTGACAGATAGTTTGTTTACACTTTGTAAAGATTCGAGATCGAAGTTGTACTTTATTATTCGCATTTCGCGTGCCGACTTTCCCTTTACAGACCTTGAATCAATATCATTAACGGGTAATTCTTTCACCTAAGAGACATCTTCAACAAGAAATAAATGCATTGGCTGTATGCTTGGTAGTTGGGAAGAGTCTTAAATTCTTGAAAAAGACCTAAAAGTTAGAAAATTTATGATGGAAAACCGCCTCCAGGCTTCCCTGTTCTACATCTTAATTTAGAATTAACAACCTAAGACCCTGTTCATACGTCATGCTTCTGGGGTGCCAAATGCAATAATTGCAATTATTGTAATGGGGTTCAACATAAGCTTGACGGGGGCACAACTTCAAGTCAGACGTTGTACCAGATTCAAACTTTATTGTGAACGTACACCAATGAGTATCGAGTCAGTGGTAAATAAAACACAAAAGTATGTATTGTCAAAATCACATTTCCAACATTTATTAATTTAGCTCAGCGTGGCATACGCAGGTTGATTGAATGACTACCGTGCCAAAGTCGTGTAGAAAAGCATACCTTGTCAAACTTAATTGATCTGCAGAACCGAATTTAAAAATTTGATTCAGACGTCCTGCTTCTACCCATGCTTTTGTTGAACTCAATAAAAGAATAAAGTTCGGCATAGCAGAAGCACGATGTACAAACTTGGTGTAATTGAAAAAAGTATATTAAATAGTTGTGTAGATGACTTAGTTTGCAAGTTTTGTCACTGTACAGGCGAACCTCGACTAATGGTCACTGGCCAACTCTCTACAATGGCCACTTTCTTCTGTCTCCAAGGTGGCCATTGTAGAGAGGTTCAACTGTCTTACTGTATCTCGACTTGTGTTCTCCACATTCTGAAGAAAATAAGTCGTCTGTCTCACAGGCACAGAGGAGAAAAAATGTAACCAGCAGTCACAAAAATATTGATGTCATGAACTGCAAAATTTGAAAGAAAAGTCATAATCAGGAACCAACTATGTCCAAGAAAAGTCATACTCAAAATTACTCTGCCTTCTACCAACTTAACAAATTTTTTTGGAAAAATGTTCTAAGTGCTTATTTATAAGAACCGATCATACTTGCCACCTTATTACAGAAGAAATGAATTAATAATAGATTGCTTGGTATTTCCAAATTAATAATGCATACTCAATAAAGTCTTTGGACAATTTCTCTGAGAATTTTGACCACCAGGTATTTGGTGCGTTGTTGTCCTTTGGTAATGTGTGATAATGCATTTGAAACAAAGGAAAAATTTAAACCAGTGTTAAAATAAAGTTGACTTTTGAGTGCCGTTGAAACTGTGCCAATGAGTTAAATTAAGTTATTTTTTCAGAGTAAAATTTGCATTTTAATAGAATGTAGCAGACACAAAATTACTTAGGTATGAAATCACTGCCTTTTCTTGTGATCAGTTAGCTTTTAAACTGGAATTTGAGTGCATTCTCTGCCCTTAATATAAATCCACTAGAAATTACCTGGTCCATTGACATAAAAGCACAATGAAATACATTCAAAAGATTAATATAAAACAGCTATTTTATACATAATAATGTCAATTATTACTAAAATGCATTTCATAGTAAACGTGCATGTGCATAATTATTATTAAATTTTTTCTGTGTGCATGAATTCAGTTTTAGGCAATTTATTCTCTGCATGCATCCATTTTATTCACTTCACTGACTTGTATTGTCTAGATGTAGATTTTTTATAGCTGCAGATCACATTTTACAGCTGACATTCACCCAATATATTTCCAGTCATGATAAAATGAAGACTGTACATGTGTACATGCTTTACTTAGTGTCCTTGTGTGCTCAAAAGTTACTTTGTACTTGTCCTGTTGCATGTCACCAGTGGTTACGTGACATTGTATGATTATAAAAGTGCTTAATTTTTCATTTTGTTTATATTGATTTAAGGGGAAGCTTGTCAAATTGTTTTCAAGGCAATTGGTAGCTAAGCAAAGGTGCGGCGAAGACTGGAGACAGTGTACGAAGCTACGAGAGTACCCTGAACTGAAGCGATGGCTTCAAGTCGTAGGGATCAATGAAGAAGCTATTAAGGTACAGTAAATTATTATGCTCAGCATGTTCTGTTGAGATCAGTAAAGGCAGCCTAAGAAAAAAGCTGACACTTTGCAATCCCACCGGTGGTTTCCCCATGAAATGACATCTGAGAAACTAGTGCAGAAATTTCATACCGATGATGCATCACTAGTCAGATCTTGGTGGTGCTTCTGGAGTGATTGGATAAGGCAAATTTCCAACCTGTCAGGAGCTCTACCCAGATCTGGGTAATTATATGTTATCAGTGATAGATTTATGTGCTCATTTCTCAGAGGTCATTTTGCGGGGAAACCACTGTTGGCATAACATAATGTGAGTTGTTTTCTCAAGCTAAATTGAAGGTGGCATATTGTGAGGATACTGTCTTCTCACCCATTCAAATGTGGATAAAACTATCCGTTGGATAAATCTCTATCTGTGGATAATGCATTTGGTTTTCTTTACACTGACTTATCTGATGGATGGTGATTTATCTGGCTGATAGTGCTATCCAGCCTTTAAACAAGCAGGGCCTGATGTTGAAGCCATGTGAAAGTGGTGTTTGTTGCTAGTTCCCTTCCTCTTTTGGAGAGGGCTTCTCCCAGATACTTGCCGTCTCTTCTGGTTGTTGTTAAAAATGGGGAAGAATCACCCTGAGAGTTTTCTTATTCATCTCACCAAGCTTTCTTCATCTTTCAGATCACTGAAATAGGCCACAATTTTTGTTTCACTTGCGTGAATTAAATTTTCCAGAAATTACAGGGAAAGTATAGCTCAGCACTTCTCTATTTGGCCAGACTTGGGGTGTGCAGTACATGTGTATTACAGATACATTTTGTGTATACCAGTCCTTAGACTTAGTGAATCAGTTGGCAAATCCCGATGGTGACTGCTAAATACACATTTGATTGTATTTCTTTTGTTTGCATAACTACACTTTTTTATTTTTTGAAGCAATCATCAGGGCTTTAATTTTTCCCATTATTTAATTTTTACTCATTTTTGTCTTCAGAAATTAGAAGAAATATGTAGTACACTGGAAGCGCTTTTGACCCTACCTGATGAGAAAGTGAGGGCAGTGCTTGAGAACTATGAAGATGGCCAGGAAGAAAGTAGGAAGTTGATTGCAGCTTTGAAACATCTTAAGGTCTACTCAGGTACATAATACACAAAATTTTGTGAGTACAGTGTAAATGGTGGAGTACAATGCAGGAATCTCTCGTACAATCATCAACATGATGTAAAGTAGAGAGGAGCAAGTTACCGTACAATTCCGAAAATAAGCCCCTCCATGTATAAGCCCTTCCAAATATAAGCCCCGTAAACTTGTAATGCAAAAACCCATCCATTACACTGCCTCTCCCTATATAAGCCCCCCAGGGGCTTGTACTTGGAAATTGCCCTCAAATACAAAGTAAAACAAAGCAAAAACAGTAGATTTCCTTCCCACTGTAACGATAGCCCAATCAATTTTGAAACGCAAATTTCCCTCCATAGATAAGCCCCTCCAAAAATACAGTGTAACCCCCTCAAAAAGGGCCTTTGAAAAATATGAGCCCCAGGGCTTATTTTCAGAATTTTACGGTACTGTATACCAGTGGGGCTTGATCAGTACAACTGCCCTTAACCAGACGTACACATTTACACAATACACTGGACCTTATGAGGGGAAGTTTAGTTTGGTGTGAATTATCAGGGATTTCGAAAAACCGAGGATTCTGGAAATTGGGACGGTAGATAAAAGTTGGCTCTAAAATTAATTAAGACAAAAACAAAAGATTTGAATGTTACAGAACTGTGTATGTACTTTTACTATAATTTTGTGGTACTTAAACTTAATGGTATTACATCAATCTATTGTTGTTCGTGGTACTTTAAAGCAGATAAGGTTTTAACTAAGTTTCAGCCAGTGAATGAATACATAATTGTAGTATTTGTACATTCTAAGTATACCCACCACTGAACATTGTTAATTAACCTCATTGTAATCATTGTTTTCATTTACTTAATGCTAACTGTAAGGCTGCATTGGCCTTATTCCATTATAGAACGTCTAAGACAGGGTCACAAAGACAGCACCTCTGACATCTACTGGACCTTTTGGGACACTGGTAAGACCAGAGAGAGGGGCCAATCCAGCTCTCCATCAGAGCGATCTTCCCGCTCATCTGTCACATTGGACAATGATGTACAGTCAGTCCCAGATGGTGACTCCACCGGGGGATCCAGGCTTTCAACACTGTCTACCAGTGATAACGAATCTGTTGTAAGTCCTAAGCAGCGTATTGCTCTACCCTTCCTGTTCACTACCCGTTCTGATGGCCTGGTCTTGCCACTCAAGAGAAGTGTGTCTGATGAGGTGAATTTAGGTATGACAATGTTATGTTTTAGTTTGTAAACCGTTAAGTTCCAAAAGTAACAACTCTCCAAAATTAGCAACCCCACGAGTGTTGTCCCCTTTTTGCAAGAAATATAGGAAATGATAGACATAGCAAGCAAGCCATTTCACACTGATCCAAGGTTTATTTTTAACGGTTATGATGATCCTTGACATTCCTATTCAAAGGACACTAAAGACTCTCTGAAAACTCATACTGAAATCAAACAAGTCTTTCGAGTTATTCTGATTTAAAACAATAACACCAAATAAGTTTCTCCAAATAAAAATTTGGATGTTTTCACATTTGTCACAATAGTATATTACTGTAACTTTGAATGGCCCATGTAAGGTACACATTTTAGCTACCTGAAAGTAGCTGCAATAGAAGAAGGCTGCTTAATCCATAAGTAACGAGGGTCGTTACTTTCAGAACTTTATGGTACATGTATACTGGTAAATACCATCTTTTACAATAACAGAGCAATTTTTATTGCGCTGATTGGTGGAGAGCTATGGTCTATGAGAGTGTAGTCCACCAAAATCACCTGATGATGGCGTGATTATTCTTTTTTTTTTTTACTTTTCTCTCTCATTCTATTTTCCAAGAGACTTCACCGGAAATTGTCATTAAAATCTGTCAATGTTATTGTAAAAATGGAAATGGATTATAATTTTCCATGGTCTGTACTCTAACAGGTCATCAAAATGACATCAAAATGTGAAATCACTCACTTGTGGTTCCACTTGAGTTTTGAACATTTTGGCATCTGATCTACAGCCAACATGTATAAGAGTGACCATGGGAAATAAAATTGTGTTCTGTTTCGTTGAAATTAAAACAATTAATAACTTACATATGACTTTTTTTTATTATTGTGCTTGTTTGACCTGGAATAATATTTTTTCCACGGGTCTGCATGGGAAAAGGTCTTCAATGATTTTAAATTCATTCTCATGTCAAATTCTCTCCCCACCCCCCCCATGTTTCCCAACCAAGCCAATGGCCAGTCACATACTGCCTTTTTGCAGGATTACTTCCTTTGTTCTTCATGGGAAAAAATAATAATTAATCTTTGCTTTAAAAGAATCAAGCAGTTGAGTTTTGCTAACACCAATTCAAAACAGAACTCAAAATTTTTTTGATCATCCCCCAACAGAAAACGCACTTAAACAAATGTACATTTTTTGCACATCTGGAACGCCTTGACTAACAAATTACCTATGTAAAAAGAAATTTACATCATCAAATTAGAGGAATGTTCGAGACTGAATGCAGACTAGAACTCTTGTGCTAAATGTCCCCATCATCAGGAAGTGATGTGGGGCTGCTTTATTCATAGGCTAGATTTTACCTTCGTTTAAAAACTCTGAGACATAGCCCAGTAGATGGAGGCATGGTCAAAAACGCAGAAAAATAGGCTGCAATACAATAATGAGATAATACAGTGTTCTGGGATTTTCTTCACAGGAAACAGAATAATTATTACAAGTAAACATGCAAGTTCAACTGTGGGGAAGAAGCAAGGAAGAGGAAAGCTAGAACCAGCAATTCCTGGCATGACTATAGAAATTCCCAAGAGCACAAGTGGTGACTTCTCTCAGTCTGATTCAGAGTCCGATCATCATTCAAGTAAGCGATTAAATTAAATGAACCAAATTACATACATCGCAATCATCCCTTGTCACCTACAAAAAAAGGATGGATTGTAGGCTACTACCTTATTTTGTTGAGGAATGTAAAGAAGTTTCCTTTTTAGAAAGGTCACATTACACAGTATTTTTTTGGTCTGGCCAGCTCACCAGGTTATTCAGTACCAAAAACCTTGTCAGGCATACCATAAATCCGCTATAAAACCTTCCAAGATGGGGAGGGGGCTTATTTTTTTCAAGCACGTTTAAGAGGGGGCTCACTTAATTTTGTAAAGATGGTGGTATCAATTCTCCATTAAAGAACTAGTATGCGAAGTGAAAAAGCTCGGGCACATGAAGTTGGAGTTCATTCAGCCAAAGATCAAAACAAATCCAAACTTCCAGTACATGAATAAACCATGCCAGATCATTCTACGTGAAGTGTTACGGTTGTGATTATTAATGCAGTCTATCATTTAAGAATAAGGGGGGAGGGGGGGTGAGGAGGGAGAATTAAAGAGAGGGGAGGGTAAGGAAGTTTAAAAAGGGAGGCTTATTAGAGAGGGGGGTGAGTTCATAGAGGGTTTATGGTACCTTTAGTTAACTTTCAGTTTCCTTTAAAATGATAATGTCCGGTATTTGATAAGTGCAGTCATCATGTCAGAGTGCAGGATGCATTTCCTAGTCTAAAAAATTGTTAATCTCTGGTTCTAAGGTCTACATGGCATAGCATCTCCTGCAAGGTCCATTACTCCTGTTGCTCACTATGGTTTGGGACATACAATAAAACACAGGTATGCATTGCATTCTTTCTTTACCTTCTCCTTCATGTAGATAAAGTGCAATGTACACTGTAGTAGTAAAACTACAAGTACTGTAGATTCAGTAGGTTGTCTTTTTTACACCACCACAGGCCATAACATACAAGGAGAGGAGCTGTTAGCAACAACCCTTCCCTAGCAGTCATTTACTTGTTACTAGTCTGTTGTGTCCCAAGAAAGAGCAGCATTAATATTGTTTTCTATCTTTTAAAACCACAAATGCCTAGACAACACTAAATTCTCTCGACTTGTGTTAATAACTTCAGAATCTGTTTTAATCTTGCTTGTTTTCTGTTTCTAATAATAATAAAAGCGACTAAAAATTTGAACAGTTCAAAATTAATGTACAAGGTCAGTTTGCCACTAAATTGATCAATTTTATTTAGGTTTTCCCAGAAAACCTTCATGGTGAAATTGTCGTGTGATTTTTGTCATAAAATCCTGCTTGTTGGCGTCAAGTGCAAAGAATGCAAGTAAGTCTGTTTCACCTATTTTCAGAAAAAGAAAATTATTTTAGCAAAATACTGAAAAACAAAAAGAATGAAGAGGGCGGCTAGGCAATGCCTGAAAAGTTAGCGTGGCTAGCAGCTAAATACAGGAATTGCCTTGACCTGTGATTAGAAGATAAAAAGAGTATTTTAAGTGGTGATGACATGAACAGTTTTTTGTGGAAGGTTATGTGGCTGAGCGGTTAACACCTCGCACTCTGGATGAGGAGGTCCGGGGTTCAAGCCTCGCCCGTTACATTGTTTCCTTAGACAAGGAACTTTACTCCACTTTGTCTCTCTTCACCCTGGTGTATAAATGGGTACCGGTGACATACTGCTGGGGGGTAACCCTGCGACGGACTCGCATCCCATCCAGGGGGGAGTAGCAATACTCCTAGGCTTGCTTCATGCTACAGAAACTGGAAATAAGCGTGTGGGCCTTTGGCTTTTGTTCGCTTTTACCTTTATCTTACATGAACAGTCTGTTATTTGTCAGGTCTTTTTTACATAACCGTTTTTTGATACAGATAGTTGACAACAAAACATATTAAATCTATCGAAGTGCTCCCCATGAGACAAAGGAAATATTATTATTGAAAATAAACCCAGGTTAAAAAGTTTAGTCTGAAATCAAACGCTTATAATGTGTCTATATTGTTGTCTCTTTGTACACTTTATTTCATAGGATGAAGTTTCACAAAAAATGTTCAAAGCTTACTCCTGCTTCATGTGGGCTCCCCAAGGGATGTGGTGAGTTCTTCAAAGACCAAGTCCGTCGAGGTACCAAAAATTTGTTTTAATCAAATTAGTTGATAGTGTACAACTTTAGATATTTACATGTACGTGCAGCCACTGTAGTTGGTTTGAGGGGTATGTTGAGGAACCTTCATGTTCATTATTTTACTAAGGGCCTGTTTACATGAAGGTGGGGGACCCCAGGTACATGTAGGTGAGGTAACCCACCCACCTGTCCCTATAATCTCTCATAATGGTCACCCCACCTATCATGTAAACTTTGATCAAATTAAAATGAGTTATTGTATGGACAGGTAGGTTACCTCACCCAAGCTGGTTACCTCACTTACGTGGGTTCCCAACTTCGATGTAAACAGGCCCTAACGCTGTCAAGGAAAGCAAAGACTGTTTTACAGTCTACTTCATCAAATAACTGTGTTGATACATGGAGCCAACGTGCATTTTCAGTGAGAAGAAAAATAAATTTAACAATCTGTTTTGCATGCAGTTTGTGTTTAAGTTACCTTAAAAATATTATACGCCGTTCTGTTACTAAACTTGTGTGTTACTTATGGCGTTGTCTTTGTATTACACTGGGATAAGACAGGCACTTGATGGTTTGTCTCCTTGGTCTCCACATTAATGAATTGGATTTCATGATAGCCTAACTGGCCCCATAGGCGATGTTCACTCTGGTATAAGGTTTTTGTCCACTGAAAATTAAAATTACTTAATTTTCTGATGGATTCCATCTTAATCTCTTTTGCAGCTTTTGACTATCGTTTAGGCTTTGACTATCGGTCATTACCAATAAGGCGTCCTGCCATGAAAAGAACAAACTCAGAACCCCTAACCACAATTCTTCAAATTGAGAGATTTTGTCGCGAACAAAACAGACCAATCCATGCAAACCGTAGCCATGGCGACTTGAATACAGTTGAACCCAAGTGGTCTCATGTTCCACCTCACAGTGCTGTACCACATATTGGTACAAGTGGAGATTCTTGTTCCAACTCATCATCGACATCATCCCCGCCATCATCACCACATCCTGCAGCAGTTAATGGCACCAGCCTTTCAGCACAGGAAGAGCTTGATCAGTTTCCAGATTCTCACTTTTCTTTTACAGGTGAGGTTATAATGAACATGGTAGCCTGTTCCAGGCTCCGAGATAGTTGGGTCCACTGAATTGCGAAAGCACAAACACGAAAATTACATGGATAAAAAATGAGGAGGAGTATTAATTTTGTAAAGAAACATGTGGGGCTTTACTCTTGATAAAACACAAACTGTGAGTTTATTGAACCAGGGCTGTTATCAAGAGCTGGGGGCTGGAGATTTTACCCAGCTATTATGAATGTTCTCCCCGCCTACTTTCATGGGAAAATAGAAGAAAAATAGAACCAAAAGAAATCCCTAGCTGTTTGATCCCCCACCTCCTTGTTGTATTTACCTGGCAACTTGAAATCTTAGTGACATACAGCTGTACCTGTTGAACTACACCCACACTTAAAAATCTTCATTCTCCCAAGAAATTTGGGGTTAGAGCTTAAGCGACTTTTTATTGATTTCTGCTGTTTCTGATCAAAAAAGGTCAGGGAAACTCAATAAACATTCTCCAAACACTGCCACACAAATAAGAAAATGACCAGGTAATTTGCCTGCTGCGAAATAGAATGTCCTGAAATGACGTCATAATCATTCCCAGTCTTCTGTTTTCGCTAGCGCGGTTTTGTAGCTCGCCGGAAGTAAAATTTCACGTTTTTGGCAGGTTAAAACACGGGGAAGAAAAATCGCTGTCTAAAAAATTTTTTTTGCTTTCCTTATCAAAACACTGTATAGCTTCTATCAAGAAAATAAAAAAATTTCTGTCATATACGCTTTAAGTGCATTTGATCATTATTATTCATATGTCAATGCTTACCATGATGTACTAAGCTGTTGTTAAATAAAAGTATGGCTGTGTTTTATGACCTTAACATTACACTCATGACCTTGTTTTCATTGGGTTTTTTTGTATGAATAATTTATAAGCTTTTGGATGGTGACAAAAGCTTCATTAACAAGCATTTAAAGCTGTCTAGGGCAAATTTAAGTTAAGATTAAATGATGTGTAAGAGATGCAACTATTGTCTTCATGCGTACAATATGCATGTGGCTGCATGTGAGAGGTTGCAATAGAATTTTCAGTCACTATACTGTTACAAATTGTTAACACATGTTCTTCTGATTGACAGATGTTTCAGGAATGACAACTCCCATGCAAAGGTAAGGTAGCTAGACATTGTTTGCTTACTTTACGAAATGTAGGCTGGGGTTTTGTTTCAGGCCAGATGCCAGATGCAACACAGGCATCCCAAACTCACCAAGGGAGTGCTCGTTAAAAATTAATACATCTGGCAATGTTGCTTAACAAAGGGATTTATAGGGTTCATATAAAAATTCCAAAAAAATTCGCCTTATCTTAGAGTAGCTACAAAATGACACAAAATACAACACATGTAAGTGTACTTTAATTTTCTTTTGTTTCATCACAATAAGCTAAGATAAGGCGAGTTTTTTCGAATTTTTACTGTTCCCATATAAACCCTATAGATCCCTTCGTTATGCAACTTTGCCAGATGTATTAATTTTTAACAAGTGCTCACTTAGTGAGTTTCGATGCAACATCGGGTTGTCTGGTTGTTTGACATGTAATATCCGGTAGATCACACATCAAATAATTCTTTTTTAAGCGTGAAAGTCATTTTTCATTTATTAATCAAAGATAGATTTCACTGACAAATCTTCATTAAAATGATTTTTCTGTTCATAGTCCCCCATTTTTTCGTTTCGTAAGATTGTCAGGATCGAGCGCTTACTGGTATGGAAGGCCATCTTAGTTTTATATGTACCCAGGGGGTGGACGTTGGGGTTTAAAGCGACCCCTAAGTACGTTTGACACTCATCCAAGATGGCTGCCCGTAACTTAAAACGCTCGATCTCGAACGATCTTACGGGAAAGTTAGTAGGGGACTGTGAACAGTGGAGATGTTTCTGATGAGTCAATGCAACAACTGGACTGAACATTTTTAACCATCTCTCATCGGAGATTCATACACTCTTCATTTTGGAATCAACTAAAATTGCCAAATCAAATATTTCATTTTTTGTGAGCATTTTTTAATGCCTGAAAAAACCTTTCTGGTTAACCAATTCCGGTCCAGGGGACGTAGGAAATTGTGTTTTAGAGAGTCCAAATTTACCCACCCGGTTCGTGCCTCCAGCCAGCAAATGACACAATGTACTTTTGTTACATTTTGCTATGTTTACAATCATAAAAAAGTGTAGGTGTAAGAAAAAGATGCATTCAGTCTTGTGTCTCTGTTTTATCACTTTTCCAGTGATGAAATGATTGACTCAACAAGCACCCTTGTGAGAACAGAAAGTGTGAAATCACAACAAAGCAGTGTAACTATGGCAAGTAATGACTCGGTAAGTTAACATCGTTTTGTAAGCCAACTCTCACCTGATGACATCGCTGTTATCATCATCATCATCATCTCTTCATCATCATCATCATCATCTATTTACATACGAGAATGCATAAGGCCGTCAGTTTCTATAACAACTTTTTACAGGACAGGGTCATTAGCTCTCAGCCCAGAGTCATCCCCAACCTGTGGGTCCGGGGGATCATACTTCATCTTCCTCTACTCTTTGACCTCTTTTGCGTGGCTAGCTCTAACAGGGGTTCAAGACTCCAGGGGCCCGTTTCTCGAAAGTCCCGATAATTAACGGGCCCGGTAAGCTGTCTCCGTTTACATTTAAGATCGAGGTTTCAATAGTTTTGCATCTAACATGATAAAGCTATCAGTTAGTGAAACAAAATGGAGTAGTTTGCTAGCCAGGACCCGCGCTCTTATTCTTTATATTTCGACTTGAATATTTGATTTCGAGCCCAAAAAGTTACCGGGACTTTCGAGAAACGGGCCCCAGCCGTCATAGCTGTAGGGGTCATGGAGACGTGCAAACAGCCTCAACACTATAAGGTGGTGATCCTGTCAAGGCAAGCTATTACTTTTCACAAATGCGACATCCTGGTAGTAGAACCAATCAGAAGCACGTCTCAGATCTGGATAGTGATGCGTCATCAGTATGGAATTTTTCACTAGTTAATCGTCATTTCTTGAGAAAACGAGCAGTGGCGTCGCAAAATGGCGGTTGTTTCCTCAGCCTATGTTTTTTTCATGCACACTTTTTCTCAAAGTAAGTTCCTGAAACCCTATCTTATTTTGATTTCTTGGATTTACCCTAGACACTGTCTGGAGACGATATCTCAAGCCCTGATCAAGGCATTGAAGCACAAATATCTGATTATAATTCTGAGACTGGAACGTGGTCACGTGGTAGGCGAGGGGTAAGTATAACTCAGAAGTCTTTTTACAGCCTTCCATTGTCGGGCGCAAACTGGACGCGTGTGTAAACGCAAAGCATGAAGGCGCAGGGGAGGGAAATATTGTCTACCCCTATTCCTTCCAGGTCTGTGACAACAGATTCTCTTAATTTAGTAAAATAATGAGCCTTCAGAGAGAAAACTTGCAATTAACGAGGAAAACAAGTGGACAAGAGTGGCAGTCAGTAAAAAAAAAACTTTTCCACTCCCCCCTTTCAACCACCAACACAGTTATTCCGTAGAGACTGTAGAATGTAAAACTATCTGTGTGAAATCTGTCTTTTTTTTTCTTTTTGCACTGTATCACTGCTTATGCTTCACGCACGCGAAGCTTGATTCCTTTTTTTTTTTACTAATTACTTTTTATCGTTTTAACATCTGTAATTTCACATTCTATAAACACTTAATAAAAGATACCATATTATTTTCATGAATAACGTTAATCGTTTTTTGATGAGGCACATGAAATCCATGCCAGCACGTCCTAATGATTTAAACATTATAAAACCTAACAAAAACTAACTGAATTCCCACATAAAACACATCAAACAAAAAAACCTAGCGCAACCATTTTATGATCGTTTTTAATCAAATTAATGTCCTCAATCTGAATAACATCCAACCTTACGTACTAAACATGGTTTTAAAGGAGTTGAGCTCTTTGAAACCCAGTAGAAACTGAAAAGAAATAAAAGAAAAGAAATACTGAAATGTACTCTTTAATCTAAAGTTTAAGTGACCCCTTTACAGTACCCCCTATTTAGTTTCTAACAAGGGTGTTTGTGTTGAGTTGCCTGCTATTAATATCTAATTGCGAGTTTGTGTGCCTCTTTGATGAAAGGTTGGAAAAGCACACATGCTTTGGGATTTACATGTGAGTAATATTATGCTTTAAATGGCATGATTATAATTCCTTGATATTCTAACTTACATAATACAAATGTGCAGTAATCATGATCTTAAACAAATATATTTTAGGATAGATCGGGTTGAAATAATTTTAGGCGAGAAGTAAATTAAGCAGATGGGATGATATATAGTTGTAAAATAATTGTGGCTAAACTTGAATATTGATATTGAAATAAATTAAAGTCAAAATAATAAAGCTCTCATTCAACGGGCTTTAAATTAAGATGAAACTACCGTCTCTGCAAAATATAGACTAAGCGTATGATCTAAAGCGCTTAAAAACCTTTAACTTTGAAAAAGTTTCTCTCGTTTCTTTAAGTATCCCGAGACTCGATACCCGCTTCTAACTAAAAACGGTTAGAGTGGAAATTTTTTACATAAGATCTTTCGACATTTCAAACAATTTTATTTCAGTATAGAACCGATTTCTAGTCAGCAGACTTCGAGTAATATTCCTTCCCCACGCGTTCCTTTGAGCAGAAAATATAATTTTCTCGAGCATTGCTAGCAAGGTAAAGTTCCCAAATTAGCAGTAGATTTTATCCAAGCGTACAGTAGTCGTGGTGGACCGTCTACTAGCTACATGTAAACCAGTGTGAAATGTGACGGACCATGTGACCCTCTGATGCATGCGTATGCCATCTTTTGGCGGGAAATCGATGGACCACCGAGACAACTTTGTTTGTTTGTTTGTTTGTTTTGGCGGGAAAACGTATGTCCAAAAACGTTTTTGAAATTAAAGACGACAAGAACAGAAACCAAAATTTTCATCTTGTAGTAAAGTTTTCTCGAAAACTAGTGAAATCTCGTATTGGTTGTATTTCCCACACACATTGAGTACTCAAAACCTTAGCGAGAGTACAAAGTGACAAGTTGAATACGCAACTGTATAAACAGGTCAGCAGAAAACTGGTTGTTTTTGCATTTCTTTCTCCTTAGCAACGAGGCAGCTTAATGTCAGAGTGGGTGATTCCCTTTGAAGAGCTGGAGATAACGTGGAGTCCTCTTGGAGTAGGGAGATTTGGCAAAGTTTACAGGTAAAGTAAAGCTAAAAGTTTTTCTCCTTCGCTCATCTTTCTAAGTATCACGTGGGATTTTGAGGAAGAAGTTTGATATCGCTATGTCCTTACGCGACGGCGTTCTTGTTTCATTTGCAAAGAATGCCGGGAAGGGTGTTGCATCCTCCTTTGTAGAGACGTATAATCTTAGTTCATAAGTGTGGGGACTATGGGGTATTGGCAAGTTCACCTGGGTGTGTCAATGTTTTGATCCTTTTTAGGTTTTTTATATTTAAAAATGTTTTTTCCTGTGGAAGTTCCTACTTTTGTTTGTTTGTTTAGGAGGGGATGGAGAGTGGGTTAAACAACGCACCTGCGGCATTTTTTGTGAACTTGGGCCCTGAAATATAGGCGTCCGCAACTCTCTAATTTATCATGTTTTTGTTTGTGGGGAGTCAAAACGGAGCGAGGGGGTAGGGGCAGTAATCAAGAAAACTAGATTTTCTCCTTCGCTCGTACCTATCCTCACCTCTTATCACGTCTAACTTAATGTTTGTAGCGTTACCCATAGTCTGCGTTGACAAAATCTATAGAAAAACAGTAGATGGTCTACTAGAAGTGCACTAAGCTTGCTCCTTACAGGAAATGTACAATTGATACATTTACCATGATGCCTAAGACAGGAGATCACATGATGATACCATCAACTGACGTGATACAACTCACTTTGACTCTGAAGATGACTACCGCACAGGTTCTCGAAACGTCAGTCACTGTCAACAACAACACTCTTATTCAGGACTACGTTCACCCGGACGATCATACTCAACCTACTTTAGTAAATGTACGATATGTGATAGGCATTTCTTTGTCTTGAAGGGGTCACTGGCATGGGGAAGTCGCCGTCAAAATCATTGAGATTGAAAATCCGACAGAAGAGCAGTTAAGCGCTTTTAGATATCAAGTCGGAACATTTCGTAAGACTCGACATGAGAATGTAGTACTCTTCATGGGCGCTTGTATGGATCCACCCAAACTTGCTATCATCACCAGGTAATGTTTAAATTATCCAACAACAACTTTATTGACAGCTTTTGTTATTAGTTACAAAGCTGGTTGCCTACAGGTAGCATAAACCCTAGTCGAGGCTGCCCAAGACAGGAGATCACATGATCAAGTATAGCCGCGATACTCACGCTGACGTCATCTATTGATAGTAATGTGCCAACAAGAAGCGTGTTGGTTCAGTCTTGAACATAAGATGCTATTGTTTCGCTAATAGAGAGGAGAAGTGTGACGTCACATTACCATGGTAGCAAAATTTCTGGATGACAACAATAGGGAGTTTTTGCAACGGCGACGGCGAACAGCAAAAAAACATCTTTGCACGTGCATCACGCTTTTTTGTACATTTCTTAGCCGTTGTTGCACGACTGCGACGTGAAACTTCCTAATTTCGCGCGCCCGCTTTATGGAGTAGGTGAGCACAACACAACAATTTCGTTTTTCTTTTTCTAAACTTGCGTACGGTCCTTTTGGGTTCAACCCAGAAAATTTCGTCAACATTTGACAAAGTAAATAAAATTAAATAAGATCGATGATTTTGAAACAGTACGAATCCACTTTTTAAGTGACGTTTTGGTGTTGTCATCCAAAAAGTTTGCTACTATGGCAACGTGACGTAACGACTTCTCCTCTCTATTACAAATTTGAATAACAAAAACAATGTTTGTCAACAGTGATGTTTCCTATACTCATAGAGCGGTTTTCACTTGACTGTCGAAAGGGATTGGTTTTGGTTTTGGTTTTGGTTTTACTACGCCCTTTGGTTGGCTAGTGTATTTACTTTGGTTTTGGTTTTACGACAGTCAAGTGAAAACCGCTCTATAAATGGTGATATCGATCTCAAGATATTGAGGGTAAAGCACCGATATCAGCTGACATTTATTGTGCATTTCTCAGCTACTATTCTCAGCTGGCATTTATATACAGCTATTTCGAGAAAGGTTGTCGGAAAAAAATGTGCACGCGACAATCCCGAAAGGTAATGTGGGATATGATCAATGCACTGTTCCTGACGACTGTAGCTGTCGAACCTACTTTTCTTGCTTTCCTTTAGCACTCGCAAACACATTTCCGTGGCCTTTCGTGCCAATTCTTTCAAATTTCTTTGAAAAAAAGAGAACTCAAAACCACCCACAGTGCCTTTCAGGATTGTCGCGTGCACTTTTCCCAACAAGCTTTCTCGAAATAGCTGTATATGTATGTCAGTTAAACCCATCTACACCCAGTCCTCGGTAAAGCTCAGTTTCGCTATGATCGCTACGAGAAAAGATGAGCAATCCATTGCCACGGTCGCTAATAAAATAAAAAGACCGAAGGACCTCGTCATGATCATTATTTTGTCTCTGCGGTCGTTGAATCATTTACACCGACCATAGCGATCAAAAGGAAGAATTATTCGTCTTGCTCTAAGTTTTTCCTGAAATAGATCCTTACCCAACCCCTCCAACCTCTCAAAATAATATCGTTACACGTAAGAATTATCTTTGCTTCAACAGCATGTGCCGTGGTTTCTCCCTCTATACTCACGTGCATGTACGAAAGGACTCCCGACCTCTGCTCAATTTTGCTCAAATTTGCACTCAAATCGCTCAGGTGAGACTTGTTGACTTATTTTTGTCAGAATAGACCTTTGTCCCTTCTTTGTTTCATGAAAGACCAATTGACGCATCACTATTCTAGGAAGTACTCTCTTCGGAATTTGGTCTTGAAAATCAAGTGTTGGGTGATTTTCGAATCTGGTTGACATGATTGCCTTCCTTTATGTCCTTATATCTCTAGCATGTTAGTTAAAAGTACTTTTCCGTGTTGTCTTAGTCACTCTGTTCCTCTACATATTGATCTACAGGGCATGGGGTATCTTCACGCTCGAGGTATCGTTCATACGGACCTGCGTTCCAAGAATGTTTTTCTGGAGTTAAATAACCGTGTAGTTATCACAGATTTTGGTCTGTTTAGCGTGGCCGGTCTGACGGCCAAGTCAGTTAGGCCCGGTTGGCTGATGATACCGGAAGGGTGGCTGCCGTATCTTGCACCGGAAATACTGCGCTCGCTCACAACTCAACAAGATGCTCCGGACTCGTCTCGGTTCACCATGGCAACAGACATGTATGCCTTCGGGTATGTTATTTCCTCTTAAGTCACCCACAGCTTTCTTTTGGTAAAACAGGACTTTAATATGACAAGACGTTAAAATTCCCAAGTCAATAAACTCGAATAATTAAAATCATATCTTTGGCGTTGCAGGCGTATTTTGGGCGGGCCAAAGTTGCTTGTTTATGTTCGCATTGCTGTAGCCGCCATCTTTGATTTTATGACAGAGGAAGATTGGAGGAGACTTCCTTTGCTTTTATTTGAATTCAATATGGTAGTTTCAACATTGCAGTTCTTGACATTTATACAGAAACATTCCATCGCGCGTAGAAAGTGCCTGCAATGCAGGCTAACATCAGGGTTCCTGTCGAGTCTTGAATTCTTGAAAAAGTCTTGAAAAATGTCCAGCTATTTTCCAGGCCTGGAAAAAGTCTGGAAAATAGAGCACAAGTCTGGAAAGATGGTAGAGAGTCTTGAGTTTTTTTTTCAAACCTACGACTAGCCGACTTTGTATGTTTTATTATTTTTTGTTTTGGTCAAATCTTATTCAAAAAAGGCTTTGTTCCTGCGTCGTGTTAATCACCTATTTGATAACCTTGAGTCTGGAAAAAGAAATTATTGTTTTGGTAAAAGTCTGGAAAAAGTCTTGAATTTTGGATCCCAAAATCTGTACGAACCCTGTGATATAATCAAGGCTTAGTCTTAAATGCCTTCTGTTCTTAAGGAAGGGGGAGGGGGCGGTGCCACAGTATCTTGTTTCTTTAAAGGGAATATGTCACGCTATTGAACAAACTTGTCTTCGCATCAATTGAATTTCAAAAAATAATGGTCCAGTTTTGTTTTGTAAGACTATGGGCGCTTTCCATTCAACCCAAAATTCCGGAAATTACCGTTGGTACATCAAATAGAACGTACCATTTGGGTTTGGTCCGACCGAAATATTCGGGACCAGCTTTGAAGGTGATCCACTTTGACAGGTCTGGTCATTTCGGTCGGTTTGGTCGCTCGGACCGACATGTCCCTTTCCATTTGACAAAATTGTTGTTCCCACTACCGCTCTCCTGCTTACAAGAACAACAACCAAACGCGCAGTGGCTTGGGTCGGGTCTGTGCAACTGGAATGTACCATCCATTGGGCACGTGGAATTTCCGAAATTTCAAACTGGAATTTTTGTTGAATAGAAAGGGCCCTAGGACTGTTTTAGGGTTCCAATTTTGACCCATTATTTCGCACATCCTCGAAATGGCCGATAGAAGAAGCGAGAACGTACCCCTAGTCCCATACAGCAATTCGGCACCACACCGATCCATTGTTACTTGCAACCTCAAAATGGTGGTTAATTGCTCGTGCTGATACGAAATCACTTTGATAATCTTTTGTCCTTATCCAGAACTGTGTGGTACGAGATGTGCTCAGGCTCGTGGCCGTTCAAGAAGCTTATTCCCGAAGCGATTATCTGGCAAGTCGGAAAAGGCGTTAAACAATCGCTAGCCAATATTGACGTCTCGAGGGAAGTAAAGGTAAGTCAGTACGAGATACAGGATAAATCACGTTAGGTTTTGTACGCCACTGGCCCACTGTCCCGTGGCATTTTGCAATAACTTCACCGCGAATTTTGCAACATGGGTTTAAGCTATGATTTTGTAATCAAAGTTACAGCATTCCGTGATAATCTTCGATCTACGCAATGCTCCATGGTTTCTTTAACATTTTTGCGCTCTTCTCACTGGTATGTTTTTCTTTTAAATTGCGTAGACGGACGATTACCGTATTTACTCGAAAAAGCACCGCCCTCGAATAAGCACCGCATTTGAGGCGTGAAAAATTAATAAGCGCCGCGGTGCTTATTCGAGTGAATGCGGCATTACAAATGCTGCAGCCTTGATTACAAGATACCACAGCTCTTATCGCGAAATGCCACAGAACACCCACCATTGCCATGGTAACTGAAATACTTAACAAATTAACTTCATTGCTGTTATTTCCCGTAGTTGTTTACAGTTGAACTCCCATCAGGCGGCCACCCTCGGAGTTCGTCATAAAGTAGCATAACGTGAGCATAATCTTAAGCACCGACGGGAGCAGCATTACTGGTCCATAATTGGTCGTCACCTTTTATCTTGAACTGTTTTCCCTTCATCATATTCTTCAAATATGGGACGGACCATTAGAAAACTTATGGGGCGGGGGGGATGGGCGGGCGAAGTACAAAAAAAATATTCGCGCAAGGGAAAATTAAATGAAAAAAAAAAATTCATGCACGCCAATTAATCCTAAAAATTATTCATGCTATGGCCTAAAAAAAATTCATGCAAGGAATTTGATAACGAAAAAAAATTCCTGCGGCTCGAAAATTGCCCCCCCCCACTTTTCTAATGGTCCGTCCCTAACGCCAAACTAAGTGTATCAAGTGCTTCGGAGAACTCTCGTTGGGGCGTCCGCTAAAAAGAGGTTTCATTTCCCATTCTTTTCTACAGTTATTTCGGGACTTTGATTAGTGGCCGCTGAATGGAGGTTCAACTGTAATTTGCAATGTTAGAAGCGTGTTTTTCTGCCCAGCTAAGTAACAACAAATCAACATTTCTCAGTTCTGAATGTGTTGGAATTGTGGTAGGTTCACCGACGTGAACATATTTTGTCTGTTTCAGGATTCATTGACTATGTGCTGGGCATTTGATCCCGAAAAGCGGCCGACTTTTAGTGAATTGCTCAGAATTTTAGAAAGACTTCCTAAACAGCGACAGCGGCTAACCAGAAGCCCTTCTCAGCCGTGTACCGTCGGCAGAGCGACTGAGGCGCTCATATGAATTGAATGAATGAACCATTCCGGAAATTAATTCTGAGTGGAGGAAGAGTGAATTCTCTATTACAGAAAACCGCGAGTGTCTGGGGAGAAGCTGCAGTTGGGCAAGCGCTTCTGGGTTATGGTAACCGTCTCGTTCCCGTCCCGTCCCGCAAGGCAGACGCAACGCCACATATGCACGAATGAAGATTTTATAACGAAAGGCATTCAGCTACAATAATCTGGCTCGTCCCTTGGCATCTTTTAGTGCCAAACTGACAAATATTACAACAGTACTATTCACAAATGCTGTGATTTTTTAACTTTTTAAAATTATAAGCTGAAGGGATCGCAAAATTGAAAGAAATTACTCTTCGTTTCGGTCAGTGTGGATTCCAACCTAAGATTTTTTATACAAGAATTTATTAGATACAGCAAATGACCTTGAGAAATATTACAACACAATAGTTCCAATTTTTAAGTTTAAGCCTCGGGGTTTTATCTACAAACGGCCAGCTTTGCATTACCGGGGAACATCGCAATGATCGAGAACTTGGTTCAATTTGTGTACACTCTTTTGTTAAAGTCATTTAAATGTTTTTTTTTCATAATTTTTATTCTGGAAAGTGTGAAGTTAGACATAAAGCTGAGCTTGGCATTTGCCCTGTAAAATAGGAATTTGTAAATAGAGTAATAATTATTGACTGACTTGAGTCCCTGTGGGATCACAAATCAACCGTGTGCTTTGTCACGAGAAAATATTTTGTTTTACTTTTAGGCTGTAATATTAAGTCTCAGACTTTGCATTTTCGAGAAAAGGTTTTGTAATCGCAAAATACGATTTTATAATTTTAGTATTACCAGTCACTGCTTTAGAGACAGATAACAATTAAGGTCTCAAAATGGTTCATATTGAGGTAGCCTGCGTACGCAGGCTAATTTTGAGGGAGCCCGCGTAGCCTGTGGAATTGTTAGCGCGGGCATAAGTTTTGGCAGAGGAGCTGCGAAGCCGTGCGGAGAATGGGGAGGAGGCTAAGGACACGTTAATTCCTCCAGCTACGCAGGCTTCTACGCAGGCTAATTTGGAGGGTACGCGTGTAACTGGGTCAGTGCATTGTCGAATTTCGCCATGGGACTGTGTTAGAAGGAAGCCATAACTTCGTTTAACGGCTATTAACACTCGTTCCTGGGGTCCTCTCCTGGACCATGGGAACGAGGCTGGGCTATTCAGAGGTTGCGCGGGAAACTGGGTCAAACTCCTCCTCTATTAAAGAAGGCCCACAATGCAATTCAACACCAAACCGACCCAGTCTCTTGCCCAACCTTGAACTGACACGACTTTTCGTAAACTTGTTTAGTGTACGTAATTTCTTTATTGCAGGGTACTATCATGTACAAGGTTGACTTTACTTCAGTTTTGATAATTTATTTTCCTGGAAAAAAAATGACTGCTCGAAATGTACTATTGTATATTGTTATCAACTCTTAAAGCTTCAGTTTCCTGTGTTTTCTTTCCAAGGCTAAGGCCCCGCTCACACGAATCCGGACATTTTTGAAACCGCATATTTTGTTACCCGGATTCGGGTGTACGGGGTCCTAGAACACTCTGTAGCAAAAAGATGCGGTTTCGGTCAGCGGATTCACTGGTTTCATGAGAACGGAAGGTCAATATTGTCTGCGGTAAAACAAGAACGCTGTTAGTAGCGTTGAGCCTCGCTTGCTTGGAGATAAGATACGAAATGATGAGGCGATTAGACCGCGAGCGGTCGTCCTTCTTTCCTTAGAGCCAGGCGCGGCGAGCGAAAAAGTAAAATTATGCTCTCGACCTACTGTTACTCAAGGGAAAAATAAGAGACTGCTCGCAGTCAAGGAGACGATTAATTCTACACGAAACTGGATTTCCTCGCTTAAAAGTTTTTCTATTCCTGCTTTTTTCCTTCGAGTATTCTTCAGGATACTTACTTTTTATATCGTTTCCGACGATTTGTTTTTTGAATTGATTAGAACGCGTGTGTAAATAAACGAAAATCAAGGAAACGTGATGAACTTAGCGCAAAAAGGAGCGGTCGCATTTTCAGAGTATCGCAGCAAACAATCTGCCACACAGCCGTTTTTACTGTCGTCACGCAACGCTCCTCCCCACAGGGAGGAAGAGGCGTTGCGTGACGACACCAAAAACGGCTGTGTAGCAGACATGAAGCTAAAGCAAGCTAGACTAAAAAATATGCGTGGTTTGCAAAATATCCGGATTCGTGTGAACATAGCCCACGAATATGCTGTGCGGAACTCGAAGGGAATCCCACTGAGAAAGGGCTGATTCCAAAATGAAGTATCGCTCCGTTACCAAGGACTCGATCTAGTTTACACCTTAATACCCCTATCCCTACTCCCCCGCCCACCAGGCAATGTAGTCATTAGATGGCTATCCCTGAAAATAATTTATGTCTTTTAGAATAGCTGTTCAATTCACTTTACTATGTGTTTTTGCATTGCTTACAGTTCTTCTTAATTTAATGTCCTTTACTCGCACCATGCTCGCACTGATGATCTAGTTAACGGGGAATGATGTGTGAAAGTCTGATAACTGATATTTTCATCTTAAGCCCAGTGCAAACGGACGTAACATTGTTGGATATTACATCAGGGGCACTCAACGACAATTTTGGGAAGAATATCTGTTCGGAAGACGATTTGAGATCTAGAATTTTCGAAACATTTGTTGTAAAATTTCTTGCTTGCCTGCCTCTCCTAGGATTTTCGAACATGTAAAAAATGGTATAATTGCCTATTTTTAACGGATGTTTACCCTAAAAAGGTCACCTAGAATTTTCGGGAGCCTTTTTTCAGGCTGAAATTTTCGCAAAAGTAAGTTTTGATCCCTATTATTTTCGGATCACTAGACTTTCAGCTAGGAAATCCGAACAGATGAAAAATTTTTAGGGGATAAAAATATGCCTATATCTACCGTTTAAATACTAAAATACGTTTAACAATGCTATGTTTAAGTGGTTTTGAACTATATTCTCGTTGGGTGCCCCTGTTACATGTTGCGTCCGTTTCCACACCCTGTTGCGTGTTGTTGCGCCAAGTTTGAAACCGGTCAAACTTTTAGCTACGTACAAACGGACGCAACAATTCCCCACATTGTTGGCCCAGCAATGTTGCTAGTTGTTGCGTCCGTTTGCACACCACTGCCAACACGGGCGCAACAACTCCCAACATTGTTGGGCTAGCAATGTTGGGAGTTGTTGCGTCAGTTGCACGTAGCTTTAGCTCTTGAAGTCCCAAGAGTGAGCAGCATAAATTTTTTCCCAAAAACACAGAAAATGGTTTGACTTTTTTATCAAATTCTCCCAACCAAATTCTTTAAGAAAATGTATGGAGATCAGTTTGGAAAATTTGTGTGTGGATAGTGGGGCTTAATGTCGATTATTGGGTTAAAACAGAAAAAGTCTGGTCGAGCCCTGGTGTATTTAAAGATTTATACAGACAAACCACCATTGCAAAAAACGGGTTTAAAGTGTGAAAACTCCTTTTGCGCTTTTTTTTCTCAAATTGACATTTTATGCACCTAATATATTGATGTAAATAATAACTTAATATATTGGTTGGGTTGGACGTCTTTTTTGGTGTTAAGTGTATAAAAACTGGGCTTATCTAACAAGATTGAACTTTTTCCTTCAGCCTTATAATGTGAGGGAGTTCCTGTGTACATCTCATGCAAGTTAACGATATTTCGCTCTGAACTTTTCATTTCGTACTATATGGAGCATTCTCAAAGTGTTATGCATTTATTATCCACTGTCAGGTTTTCGAATTGAAGCCATCTTTGGGTTGCCTTATTCTATTAAATTGAAGCGTAAAGCAAAAGAACGCACAGGCGGCCCAAACTTCACTTTGCGAACGCTAAATAACGCTAAACCTTACTTTTTCTTAAATGAAATGAATACAAAAGACTTACCTGCAATGTATTCCACTGCGTTTTGGTGTCTGTTTGTCGTTTTACTGTTTTTTTTGGCTTTATTGCGTAACCGCTGTTACTCCTTTCATAGAACGAACTTCATTCTATGAAAGGAGTAACAGTGGTTACGCAATAAAGCCAAAAACACCAGTAAAACGACAAACAGATACCAAAATGCAGTGGAATACATTGGCCATTGCAGGTAAGTCTTTTGTAAGGTTTAGCGTTATTTAGCGTTCGCAGATCTCAGTAATATATTTCTCATACAAAGTCTCTTATATTTTCAACGGTCGCCTGTAACGCGACACCGGCGCGTCACCTATGTTATGTAAATTACATTTCACCCTTCCCTCGTAAAGTGAGTTTGGGCCGCCTGTTAAGAACGTTGCAAAATAAGTACCCTATCAGGATGAAATTCTTGCAGTCACTGTCAACAACAACAGTACTATTCAGGACTACGTTCACCCGGACGATCAAACTCAACCTACTTTTGAAATGACTCCTGGGCTCAAACTTTTCACAGAAAAGATTCTGTTGTGTTGACCCCCAATATGGCCGCCTTGTCACGTGGTTTCAAACCAAGAATAGGTGTTTTTGAGTGACAGCAGGGTTATATACTGCCTAATTAAGTTCAGTATAACGGCTCACACGGGAAAGCCAGTTCCACTGGTTCCCCAACAGGCTATATCTAGACAACCCGACAAAGTTCATAAGAAAGATTCTTTCGACTGAATGGAAGGCGTTTTGGGTTGTTGTAGAGCCACGACAAACTAACGGACCTACTATGAAATATTGACTTCATGATTCAAATTGTGATCGCTCGGTTCAGGGGCACCCAACGAGCATATAGTTCAAAACCACTTAAACATAGCATTGTTGAACGTATTTTAGTATTTAAACGGTAGATATAGCCATATTTTTATCCCCTAAAAACTTTTCATCTGTTCGGATTTCCTAGCTGAAAGTCTAGTGATCCGAAAATTGTAGGGATCAAAACTTGCCTTTTCGAAAATTTCAGCCAGGAAAAGGCTCCCGAAAATTCTAGGTGGCCTTTTTTAGGGTAAATATCCGTTTAAAATGGGTAATTATACCATTTTGTAGATGTTCGAAAATCCTAGGAGAGGCAGGCAAGCAAGAAATTTTACAACAAATGTTCCGAAAATTCTAGTTCTCAAATCGTCTTCCGAACAGATATTTTCCCGAAAATTGCCGCTGGGTGCCCCTGTCGGTTGCGTGTTAACATTTTCCAAGTGTGTGTGGGACTTGTTTGAGATACGCATAAGCACAATTATTGGCCTCAACCGCAACGATATAACTCAGGGCCGGGTTGTTCAAAGCAGGATTAAGATGCGAATTTTAAATTCAGATATAAAAGCGTAAAAAGCACATTCAGTTTAATTCTTTTGCTCGGTAATTTGGTGATTGGGTGCTCCAAAACAAATAGGGAAAATTATCCGAGAAAATGCTTTTAAACAAAAGAAAGAGTATCCCGCATTAAAATTTAACCCCGGGTTAGCGCTAATCGGCCTTCGTACAACTGGGCCCGAGTGTGATGGCGAATTTTAACCCTGATGATTAATATGACCTGGTTAGCTAGTTAGTTTAGGCTCTCTATACCACAAAGCTACAGGAGCTTAGCTAGGGTTGAATAGCTTCGTGTGACATACCAGCTGCCTACTACTAGGATTGAGTTTTGCCGAGTGGTTACATTGATTTCATGGGAAATTGGGAACTCGGCAATAACTCTCACCATTTTTTGACATACCCCGCACTTTTTTTATCATCTTCTAATTAGCGTATTAGTGTATTGTGTAGTAGTCTAGTGAGATTTGACGGCGGAGCTGTTGTAATATAGTCGAGTGAGATTTGCCGGCGGAGCCGCGAGAAATACCGCGGTATTTCAACCGCCTCGTCCCCACTCCCTTTTTTTTTGGAACACGGCTCCGCCGCCAAAACTTGAATCTCGCACCCACACAATACCGCCAGCTACGCAGGCTAATCCAATACAAGCAACCATATTTTGCTTTTCAATCATTTGCGGTTACAGCAATTACTGTTTATTTGTTTGTGGTTACTGTTTATTTCTTTTCCTGCCCACGCAACAAAAGATTTAAGTAATTGAAACCGGTTCGGCTTTATGAATTAAAGCGCAAACAAATTAAACTTGACTAATATATCTGCTTCTTAACAATAATTATAACCTGCGTGCAGGTTCTCTTGTGCGATTTCGGGAAAAATTGGCACAAGCCTGAGGCAACTTCCCGAGCCAGGAGCAATCGGTTCCTGACGAAACTTAAAGCCAATACAACCTTTTCGATTTTGTCACTTCAAGAAAAAAATGTAAGTTAAAACACGTTCCACATAATAAACTGGTCCATAATATGATAATAATAGAAGTCTTTTTTCCTTTTTTTAACAGAGGCCGGGCTTTTACGAAAAGCCGGTTCCATTTGCGATCAATTCTAATTGTTTAGTTGGGGTCGAAAAGCCAAGGGCTGATTAAGTGTCAGAAGATTAAAAGTTTCGCTCCA